CCATCCAATCTGTTTTATCTCCTTTTTTTCTTGTATTAAAATATATTTAATCAAATGAAACCCCTGAAACTGGTTAAAACAATGTAGTAGACATGCCAGACTAAAATGAGGCATCTCTCCCACTGCAATACATTACACAAAAAAAGTAGAAACACAAAAACATAACACAATGGCTGCGTCCAAAATCGCCTATACTGCATTTGAATTTTAATGTACCTTTTCAACCATTAGAAAAGTATGTTCTATACACTATAAATGTGATTAGCATGAATGGAACTTGAAGGTATTACATCCGCCGTTTTGTCATGGTCATGTGGTCTTCCCAAGACAGGTACATCTTTTTACTCCCATTCATGAATTCTCTTGCAGTGCATCACGGGATAGCGTAACATGCATCGAATGTGCACTTCTGAATCAAGCGGAAGTAGTCGATCATTCTGGTACTTCTCGCATACTGTTTTTCGAATTCTATAAATTCAGACATACTACTCGCCTTGCATACTGATTTTAGTGTACTAAATAGTATAGTAAAAGTATTCGATTTTGGTCGCAGCCCAATACTTCCACACTATAGAGTACTATATTTTTAACAACAGTATGTGAGTATGTAATTCTAATTCAAATGTATTACCTACTAGAGTAGTAGCCAGTTCAGATGCAGCCAATGCTTACCAACAAGACATATCTGGATAATGCTTTTTAGTAAAGCTTTTAAGCTCAGTAGCTTCTACAGCACAAACACTTGAATGTAATAAATAACTGTTGTTGTTGTTGTCACTGTTAAGTAGGATTGTCTGACTAGGGCCAAGGCTATTGGCATTGTTGTTTCTCAAAATATAGGTATTGGCTGTTTACACACAAATACTAGGGCATGATATTTATTATTATTATTTTTAAAAAAAAAAAAAAAATCTTGGACCAATTTTCAGAAAATAAAATGTAAAAAAAAAAGAAAAAAAAAAAGGTTTCACTCTTTAAAAACACTACTTGTATCTGGATGAAATGCATATACAGTATAATGCATTTTTACTAAATGAGTCTTTGCGTAGACGAGTGTAAATCTTAGTCTAATTCTAACCAATAATATTAAAAATGTTGAAACAACCTTGACATTTTACCTTGGTGTAAAGATGCTTTGAGATATACATCAGAAAAAAAAAAAAAAAAAAAAAACATCATGTTCATACATTCATACGGAAATATATTTGTGATGCATTATGAAATCAGTTTTTTTAATCAATTCCATCAACACAAGTTGGGCACCTAAGAACACAGATAGCCTCAACAAACAAAAGTGAAAAAATGGATCTTTCTCAGAAGCTAAGTGAATGCAAGGTACCATGATTGGGATCCACCTGTGCAACAAGTGTATTCCTGAAAATGTCTCACTACTAAATAGTCCACAGTCAATAGTAAGTTTTATTACTGTAAGTGGAAGACTCTGGGAATTACTTTACACTCTCAGAAATAAAAGCTACCATTGCACATCTTCATATCATAAACATCTTGATAGGGAAACATGGCTCTGTGATCACCATTACATCTTCTATCTGTGTGGAAACTATGTGCACAAAGAAAAGACTATTGATTCAACATGACTAATAAACACACATCGACAGTATTAATACATGTATGATTTATTAAGAAGGATTTATTTCAGACTCTCGACTGAAGTAATAAAGTGAGTTTGGAGTAAACCTATTATATTAAATGCAGAATTTTTGCATGCTGTCAGGTGTAGCAGCAACATAAATTTGTAAAGAAGCTACACTGAAGTTACACAAACAGCTATTAAAGCACATAACGATAACCTCCAATTTCAGAATCATGCCAATAAATTAGTCTTCTGTTTTTGTGATGCTTGTAACTGAACTATGGCTATGTGTAATAAACGTTACGCTGTTTAGTGCATACAGCTGATTACAGAACCGGCTTCACTGACAATATGTGCATGCAAATCACCATTGGTTGATCATGCAGCTTTGGATATTTAAATATTTTATATAGATTGAATATTTAAGAATTGTATTTGGAGATACAAGGTGCCATAATATACTGCCTCTAATGTCAATTTAAGCTAGCAACATTACTTGTGACTTTACTTGTTTTTTAGTTGGAAAAATATATGTAATACAAACCCCTACCTGCTTCTGTTGAATAAGAGTTTTAACGCTTGCTAAAGACTTTCCATATACTGTAAGATTTGCCAGAAATCAGCTTAAATGCATCTTGATATATACCCAAGTAGGGCATGCACCTCATTAAACATCCTTGGTTAGCCCTGGAACAACAGTCTCTCTAAACAAATAGCATCTACCCAATTTAAAACCCTTAAATTTACACTATACTGTTGAACCCTCAACCTTGAGCCAAAAAGCTTGATAGGGACACTGTCTGAGGTCCAAGAAGGATTGCCGATCCAGGAACATGTCCTACTTGAGTAAAGCCCATTAAGCAAAGTGCAGCATGGTTTAGTTTCAGCACTGCAGGATTCAAGGGGGTTTACATGTGATACAAATAAACTGCAGAACCACAGCGGGATGCGGGAACAGGAAAATACTATTTGTGCCAATTTACGGCTAAATAAGCACAAGCGGGGATACAAGGTCAACTTGTGGTGTCTCAACTCTGTAAGGACAGCACACACATGAGTGTTTTCCCCTTCAGTTTTAATAGAAAGTGCTACATCACTGTGAGTCCATTTCTTTTTTGAAAGTTGCATACTACAAGGTCTGCTAATTATGATGATTAATTCACACATAGAACGAGCAACGTCCTCAAGAGGGTGTTGGTGAGTGTGTGTGTGTGTGTGCGTGTGTGTGTGTGCATGTGTGTGTGTGTGCAGATGAACATGTAATTCAGGCACTGCGGTGATGTGCATTACCATGGCCTGCTTTCACAACACCTGAGAGTGCTTGTGAATTTTCCTGATCTCAGCTGTTCAAACTATTTTTTTTCTGCGCTTTGCCGTATTCGTGATGCAGTTGCAGTCTCCTAGACTACGAGAAATAAGGAACTTGAACACCTTTGTAAGCAAGCATACAAACCAAGTTAAAAAACAGCAAATAAGGCTTCTACTTTATTCAATATCTGACTAAGGGTGTGTTTTCATCTCTCACCATTTTAAAAACACTGAAGTTGCAAATTTTGCAAATTGAGAACTTTTGTGATATGTTTGGTGATTTATTGACACTATAAATATATTTTGGAGGGTTAAAACATACATTTTTGTAAACAGAGTTTTTAGTGCAAGATGTGGTAATTTTTACTGTTTACTGTGTAATATTGTGGAACTGCAAAAAAATAAATAAATAAGAATTTATATATATATATATATATATATATATATGTGTGTGTGTGTGTGTGTGTGTGTGTGTGTGTGTGTGTGTGTGTGTGTGTGTGTGTGTGTGTGCAAAGAGTTCAGAAGCAAAATTCGATTTCAATTTTAATTGTACAGCCCAATGATCTAGATGGGCTGGTCTGTCTGTTTCAGTAAGTGCTGATCTACTGGGATTTTCACACACAACCATTTCTATGGTTTACAGGAAATGGTCTAAAAAAGTGAAAATATCCAGTGAGGAGCAGTTCTGTGGGCACAAATGCCTTGTTAATGTCAGAGGAAAATGGCCTGACTGGTTTGATAGAAACCAGTCGGATAGAAAGACAACAGTAACTCAAATAATCATTCGTTACAACCGAGGCATGGAGAACAGCATCATTAGTACCAATCGGGCCATGTCCATCCCTTTATGACCACAGTGTACTCATCTTCTGATGGCTACTTTAACAGAATAGAATGCGATGTCATAAATCGTGAATCATCTCAAATTGGTTTCTTTGACGTGATAATGAGTTTACTGTACTCAAATGGCCTCCACAGTCACCAGACCTCAAGCCAATAGACTAACTTTGGGATATGAACGAATGGGAGATTCATATATATTATATATATATATATATATATATATATATATATATATATATATATATATATATATATATATATATATATATATACATACATACACTGAAAAAAAAGATTTTTGGGGCTTGTAAATAAAGAGAGCATAATTCAAGTACATTTTACAAATAAATCATATTTTGTCTTTTCACTTCAAAATGTCTAGTTAAATTCAATAAGCTACTTAATATTTATTTTTACTTTTTTGTGCCTAAAATACAATAGTAAATCTAAATGGATATACCCAAGTAATATTTACTTAGTGTTTGTAATATATTGAACTTATGCAAAAAATGACATACGCTAGTAAAACTTACTCCACAAAGTCAGTAAATCTATCTGCATGCTCTCTAATTCAAACCTGGTGGGTGGAGCAAATGAGAGCAAACGATGATTCCCTTACGCAGACTGATGAGATATTTACAAGGTAAGTTACACTATTTGTTTATTGATCAATTTGGTTTTGTTTGCAGAAAGTTATAGGGCTCCTGTCAGCAATTTTGGTGGTTAAAGAGGCAAGGCTAGAATGAAGTGTTATTTGACTGAGCTTGCTGAAGATCCGATTAGCATAATCATATTAGCAAATGGCATCTGTGTCTAAAACAACTGTGTTGCTTTCTAAATATAATCTATGGCGAAGTATAAACTACAGTGAACTTAAAGATGATTTTTTATGAATACCAGTGTCCAGGTATAGCAGTAAATTGCATTAAGGACATAATTAACCGACATTAAAGTTAGCCTACGATTCTGTCTGCATTATTAATATGAGTTTTCTTAGATTGGACAACCTCAGTACTCATTTGAACACAGATTGAAAAGTTACCTGAGCTCTGAGAGGCCAAAACATGACATAGAAAGATGTATTTATTAATCCATCCACATTAACATATGCAAATACTCCTTGTTAGTGATATAAATTATAGTAATGTTACTGAGTATGTTCAGGCAGCCTCTATACCTGCGAACATTTATTGCTGAGTCCAAAATAAATTAACTGATCAAATTTTACATCAGTAATATCATTATAAGTTCATTCAATTTTCTGACATTAACATTTCTAATATGTTCAACAGATTGCTCTCACGATTCAAGCTCATGAAAGGTAAGTTAGATAACACATTTATATAGATATACTAATGTATTCAACGTATGTGTTGTAGGCAAAAAAGTGTTGTTTTGACTACTAATTCGTAAATGTGTTCATTTTTATATCATTTATATCTTAGATCAATAATGAGAACAGAAGCATAATCTCAACCCCCTGTAGCCAGCCTTTCTGCAAAAACTGGACTACATTCACTCAACCAGGTAAACTTATATATTGCACATCCAGCTGGTGCCGGCCTTTTAGATATGCAGTTATATGTAGATGGAGATTTACACTGTTACTGGTTAAAGACCACAGAAATTTATTTTTGTTTTAATCAGCAAGTTGAAGACAAGTGAGATGCTGTGATCCGCTGCCTGATTTCCTACCTGGGATAATCATCTCAGAAGCTCATTAAAGACTACCAGGTACATTTTATACGTCTAAATTACTTTTATTTTACTTTGGATATAATGTTCTTTAAGTGTTAAAGCCATGCTAGTATTTTATCCCCCAAAATTGTAAGTTTTTGGGTAACTTTTAAAAACTGTAATCACTTTATGCAACAGAGCACAGGTCTTTTATATCACACAGTCTATTATCTCATAAAGCAAGAGATAACATTGATAACATTACAACAAACTCTACAGTATTTTAATGCACTTATTTGTGTATTTGACAGGATGTCAAGAGACTTGCTTAAAGACGGCTTCACCAATTGTTGGGAAGATCATTGTACTGGCCAGTACTACAGAAGAGGAAGATGCCAACATAGATGACCCCATCATTCTGTCTGAAAGGACTTTTTAATTTGTTTATTGAGAAGTTTAATTCAAATTAAAGTACTCAATGAATATTTGTGGCAGTGTTTTAATTAAGAAACAGTTGTGATGCATCACCATATTTTATTTAATGTTTTAAAATAAAGTTTACTCAGGATACCTAAAAAAAGATAACTAGGAATATTGGATAAAATATAAATTACAAAACAGTAATATATTTAAATGTACGACTGAAGTAAATTTTACAAACAAAAACTCAAGAGAATTTACTTATAATTCCCCCAAGTAAATTTAACTTAACATTTCTAATTAAATGTACAAATAGTTTTGGTTTATCTTTTACTTGGCAAAGCTTTGAAGATTTACTAGCCTTTTTTGAGTGAAAAAAGTTGCCTAGCTTTTTTAAAGTAAATTATAATATATATATATATATATATATATATATATATATATATATATATATATATATATATATATATATATATATATATATATATATATGACACATAACAGTGACATTATATAGTTTTTATTGCCCTAAACTGAAAGGCATGCTGCATTAGGGACTGTATAACAAATACATATTGCAAAATAATGCACTAGTGCACTAGTGGTAGTAGTAATAAAAGCTTTGTGTTTAGGCTGACTTACTGAATATGAACTTTTCCCAGTAAATTGCATTATGCGTATAAGCGTAAAGCATTTAGGAAAACAAAATATATATAAATATATATATATATATTTTTTTACACATTAAAAGGTTTGTAACGTATTGCCTAATGCATTTTTTCATACAGTATGTACATATCGTACACAATACTTTTTCATTTTTTTATTATTATTTTTTTTTTATTTTAAGGTTTAAGGTTGTAGCTCTTTCTACCACCTTAATAATTTAGCTGTTGATGGGCCAAGGATGTTTTCTTGAACAATGCATCTGTGGACAACACTACATGCAAAACTTTCTAAAAATGCAAAGGTGAAATGCAAGCTGATTTAATACACACCCTATAGAGAGAATTGATCTGAGCTAAACATTTCTGAAGAATAACCGTCTGTCTCAGCATGGTATGCAGAAACTCTTAAATGAAGAGCTCAGGGGCTCAAAACAAGGGGGAATTACTGTACAGTGAACTGAAAACACTTGCGCGTGGCTTGAAATCATGCGGGCCCCTTACGGTGTACCTGTCAGAAGTTATTGCAGTCACAGTAATGGCACTGACCACAGGCCCCATTCGCTGTTTGTTTTAATTACATCCTCCATATGACAAGGGCAGCTGTCAGAAGGCTGGCAACGTGCAGATCATTAGCAACAGCTCTATCCATGGATTTGCCGTTGCAATTTACCATGAAGCTTGCCAACAATATTTCGTCACCTGTTTCAACGTGCCTGGAAGCACCTTTGAATATTATTAGGCACAACGGACACAAAAAGCTTCATACAAAAAGCCACTAGTTCACGAGAAGAGTGGAAAAGGGCTTGGATAATTGAGTTAGGAACGTAAACTAACCTTTATTTTGTCCTTGTGCTTTAATTACCTGAAGAAAAAGTTGAATGCTAGAGAGCTCAGGTTCACAACAGACTTAAGTGCTGATAGCTTTCCTTCTTTCCAAGGGATTCTGACAAGATCATTATCCGATGACATTGTCCTCTTGCCAAAGGCAAAACAAGTCCCGTGTTTTTATTTATTTATTTTTTATTTTATTTTATTATTATTTTTTTTAACTGAGGTGTATTTGGAGCTTTCCCTTCTTCTGCAAATGAGAAAAAACAAAACATTTCCTAGACACTAATTATCAACCCTCCAGACTCTGGCATTGTTTTCTGCACAGTTTGGGGGAAACAGTGTTAATCTTGCTAATGAAACTGCTGACAAAAAAAAAAAAAAAAAATGTTACTTGATAAAAGCTTTCAGTATAATTTATTTCATCAACAATAATGAAGAGAAGATGCAAGATGCAACATTATGAAAATTAAATAATTTTAATTAAAAGCATACTGTTAACAAAAATATGATGTGATAAAGTACACAGTGGGTTATTAAAAAAGATCTAACAGTATTCTCAGAAGAAAAAGGCAGGAAACAATTGCTATTTGATCAACAAAAACTATTTGTTCAAAACAAAGTTATTATAGTTAATGGAAATGAATAAAAAAAAACTACGATAAAAAAAAAAAACATTTTTCTAACTAAAATAAAAATAAAAACAAGAGTTTAAAAAAATAGAACTAACTGAAACTGTATTGTGTGCATAAAAAAACTAACAAAATAACAAAAATCATAGAAAAAAACGTCCTTCGTTTTTGTCTTTGTAAATGTATTTAATACATACTTTAAGCCTTTTAGAAGTAAATCTATTGGCTTCACACTGCCAGGTGTTTGACCCATACAAGACCTCAGAGTCTGTAATCCTGCTGCCATTGGCCAGGTCAAGCTGGTCCTCCTCCAGTCATCTGGTTGAACTAATTAATCAAATCGAACTGAATCATTTGAAACAATCCGTGTCTCCAGTAATGTTAAGCACTTGTCCACAAACAACTTACTTTTTACATGCCTGATACCCCCTCTGACTCAAAATAAACCAATATATACTGAGTTATTCAGTTATTAGAACAGTACACTGAGATCAGATTAGAGTAGCGGTGAACTGATAATACTCTGCATGCATGATTCAGAAAACTGAACCCAAACAGTACATCACAGCCTGCTGTGACTGAACTAAACCTCAACAAGCAGTGCGGGTAAACCAAGAGCTTAAATAAGAGGATCTGGCAAAAGGTCATGCTTCAGTTGTGTGGCAAAATGTAATTGTAAGAAACATTTTTTTTTTTTTCAGATCATGGTGATGTTTTAACTGAAAATATGATAGCTGACTAAATATTTTTGATATGAAGAGTCCAAACTTGGAAAGCCTGTAACAAAAGACCTGGTTTGCGTTAAAGATCCGAATTTCCTATCACTACTGTGCATTTACCCTCAGAAACAGCCTTGCACACCTATTTGACTTAAGGCTGCTATTGTATGGGTTGTTTTATTTGAATTTAAGGATAGGGAGTGTTCTTGTGTCTTTATTTATTCTAAATTTATTCTGATGATTTTGAATCTTGTACTTAACACATATCCAAATTTACAAAAAAAAAAAAAAAATAATAATAAAATAAATAAATAAATAAATAAATAAAATAAATAAATAAATAAATAAATAAATAAATAAAATAAAAAAGCTGTGTAACTGGGATAAGTTACAGACTAGTTCTAAACTTGTAAACTGAGCATCAAGGCTCAATTTGCTTTAGATTTGGTTTAAGTTTAAAAATAGAATGAATAAATAAATAAAAATCAGCAAAAGCTGTAAATATTGTGGGACCATGGTCAAGTAGAGTAATTGGCCATAAAATCAATTAAACAACAGTCTCTCACATACATAATTTGAGGAGACAAAGCACCATTTCATGCTCAGAGATTGACATCAGCGGGGCTACTGTGATTCTAGCTGATTTGTTTTGAGAGAGGAATATGGTGGTAGGTCACACTGCACAGCCAAAGACCCTCTGGACTTGTTCCATCTTCTCATAAGCTCCGTCTGGGTCATGCTGGATAATGTCACTTCTCATTTGGATGATGGCACAGTTCAATGGGACCATTGTCCGGGCAAGTAGAGTCTCTTGCCCTGATGTTCGCCACAGCGGGTTCGCTCTCCGGGGCTAGGTATTTTTGCTGGAAGAAATGATGGCCTAGACAAAAGCAGTTCTTATGAAAGGTGACTGATTTATGGAGGCCATATTTGCATGATCGAGTGGATGAAAATGTCATCTAAAGGGCTAGTTTGACCTTTTCCAATAGTCTGTGTGTTTGAGAGAGAGAGGATCTGTGAACCAGAGAACAAGACAGAGACGAGTAACATGCTCAGCTCTACATTTTTTAGTGTGCATGTAATAACTAGATATTAATACTTTATTACAGTTACAGATACATACTGCAGTGTTTTTATGACACATCTTAAGTTGGCCCTAATGGTGAAAAACACAATGCCACTGATGCAAACTACACTTGCATATTTTAATGCTATAAATGACCAATTGTGTCATGTTTTGGCTTGTTATAATCAGTTGGACTGGAAAAACAATATATAAATATAATTATTAAAAACACAAATACAAAATTTAGAGTAGTGAAATAATTAAACAATCTAACAGTATAGAGCAGTGTTGAGTAAAGTTACTTTTAAAAAATCTACTATACAACCTTGAGTAACTTAAAAAAGTAACTAAGGGTGCACTCACACTACGTGTGATATAAAATATGTAAAATATGTGTCACTGCATCCCAAATGACTAAAATGATATAACTAAAGCAATATCTACTGTGCTGAGCAGGAGGACTTCTCTTCCTGTTAAACTGAACATCATCAATGAATTAAATCAAAGTCAAATTGTAAAGTATTACACATTTTCCTGATTACTAAGTTCTTCTCTATACGATATAGCAGCGTTCACACATTTGTACACATATTGTTTAGACATAATTATTCAGTAGAAAAGCGTTTTCAGTAGTAGAGTAATGTGCAATCCATGCTATTGCTGACAGAGTATCTCCATATGGGTAACTGATGGAATTGTGATGTTAATGAAAACT